GGCCCAATGCCAGCGCAGGAGCCGGCGTATCTGCAGGAACCTTGAAAGCCAGAGCTATGGCTACAGCAGAAATCGCAAGTGCCTCTGCCTCTGCTGGTCCAATAAAAGCCAAAGTTGGTCTAGGAGTCGATACTGGGGTTGAAGTTGGTCTGACGGGAGTGGAAGTAAAAGTGTTGGGAATCGGTTTCTCCTTTGGTCGTAAGATCGGGGTTTCTCTTTTTGGCACTGGGTTTGAAATAAGTCTGTGGTAGTTCAGACAGTGTTGGCCATCTTCATTCTTACATGATGTCCATGTTCATTGCATAAGTCCATACGTGTGCCATCTAATCTACAATTGTTTTCTTGTTATTTGTGCTCCCATACCTGTGTGTAAATTTCTGGGGAACATTTGACTGAAACATATTGTGACCTCGACATTGATAAATAAAAAATATAGGGTGAAAGAAAAACCTCTCAAACTCCAACATAATTGTCCTTATTTCAAAGCATAAGCCGCTTGAGATTAAACTTATATTTTCAAGGGGTCCTAATACAAACCAACAGATTTACAAGATGGATGCTGTAGCATGTATGACAAAAACAGTCATATAAACAAAATCTATAATAGAACCAAACAAGCGACCAATTGGACAAACTTTCAAACACTAAAGGCTCTCATCTACTCCAATTGAGCAACATTGTTATTAAAGCATCTAAAACAGCTGCATATACTTTGTAATTGAAACGGGTAATTCTAAACTCATAAAATGAGGTTATGGAGGAGAAAGATGATGGGACATTGTTCCACTCAAAGGGTGCTTTAAGAGAACCTATCAATTTCCCTGCTTGTTGAGCAACAAGCGTTTTAATGGAATGGCTAAGACTGAATAAATTGCTTTAAATATTTGGGGTAATAATTAATTTAAACGTGACTAGTGAAATTGTCGTCTGGAGGATGGAGTGAGCCAAGACAGTTGTTGGAAAGTGAAGAGTCAAGTCAAAGACGTGAATGTTTAAATTGCTGATCTGGTACAAAATAAAGATAAGACAACACAGAGGAGGGCAATTTATTGTAATTTAAATGAAGAAGCTGACTAATCAGTGTTTTTTTTTTTTTTTTAAAGAATCTGGTCCAATGACAACTTCTGTTTGGTATAGTGTTCTGGATGTCCTTACACATTGCAATGGCACATGGATGCTGCTTGTCAAATTAGGCCTGCAGCCTTCTGAATAAGAACTACAAAAACACAACTTGCAGAAACGCAGTGACTGGCTGAAGCACTCCATTAGAAGAACTAAAACACATGGATGGACGGATGGATGTTTAACTACCAGTGCATGTTGGATTCTCGCAGGGCTGCCTTCTGAAGCTGGTACTGTTCATAACTTTTATGGACAGAAATTCTAGGTGCAGCCATTTGCCACCTGGTTTCTATCTACAAAACAGCACAGTTTTGATCTGTAAGCTTTGAGTAAACAATAAAAAATGTAGTTTGAAATGGTGTGAACATGTTTCCATAAACTTCTCCTTCACTCATACTAATTTGCATTAAAATAAATTCTGTACAGCTACAGGGACAGCCTAGAATGCCAAGTGGCTGTCTATATGCAAGATAGTATAAATACCTGGCAGCCACCCACCAAAAAAATCATGGAAATGGTGTTCAGTGAGCTGACACAGAAGATTTCTTTGAATATAAAAATATAGATCTGTTTCCAAGGTGGAAGCAAAGTGGAACACTTTATTGGGCTTTATTTCCTCTGGCATGATTGATATAATTTTGAAAATGGAGTAGTTGAAGTTGAAAAAGCTGTGAACATGCCCAAATCTGATTTGCAATTCTTGCAGCCAGAATAAGAAATATATGGTTGTTCCTGTATTTAAAGCTACAGTGTGTAATTTTCAGCGACATCTAACGTCCAGACTGCAGACCGCAGCAACATGAAC